TTCCTAACAGGTACTAAGTCCATAGCTACCAGTTCCTAACAGGTACTAAGTCCATAGCTACCAGTGTTTGTCCAATAGGCACTAAGTCCATAGCTGTCGATGTTATTTGTTAGGCACTAAGTCTATAGCTGTCAATGTTTACTCACATCATCTTTTATCTCTCATCATTCATCTACCCATCTCATACCCAACATACTTGTATATTTAAAATACGTATACAGTTCAAATCATTTAAAACATGTATAAAAAAACGTTCATCCAGCATAGACAACAAGTATTCAGATAATATGCACACATAGCACGTAGTTTATATAAAATACTTCATATCTATGTGTAAGATTAAAGTAACTATACACTCACCTGAGAAGGTGGTGACTCGGTACGGACAGCGCTTCGTTTACTTTAAAATAATTTCCTTCGACGAAACCTAGTATTATCACCGCTAGATTTTAGTCTAATATTTACCGTGACTAATTATTAGTCTTATTATTATTATTATATAAGCGTTTAAACAATACTTTCCAACTACTATGTACAGACAGGGGCCAGACATAAAACACCGGAGGGCAAATCCATTTTGGCGTATAGCACTTCTGAAATCCAACAATCATATGCGGCCCTTTAAACCAGATTTCCCATACCGCAAGTAGTTAAAAAGATATTATGATGACACTTATATAAGTCATAATAATAGCTCAAATATTTATAATAAGTTTATAACAACAATACTAATTTTAAATATAAACTATACTTAAAAGAGGGTAAGCATAACTTACTTACAAGGGGATTTTAGCTAGGAGTCGTGCTCTGCAGGGGCAGAACTTTGTCGCTGAAACTTTCTAAGAAAGATTCGTGCAGCGCTTCAGCGTTCACCTTACTATACTAAAACTACAGAAAGAGAAGTCGAATCACGAGGGACCGAAATGCTCGGGGGATAAGGAGAGAAAGACTCTTGAATCAAGAGAATGATGCAAGAAATATGAGATCCCAAGCCTCTTATTTATAGTAATTGAATTTACAAAAACTATCCTCCATAATTACTTAATGACCTTATAGTTATATAAACAACTAAACACCCCTTTATAATACTATTTTAAATAGATTTAACGATATTTGCACTAAAATAATGTTGAAAGAACTCAACATTAGTCTTATAATGACCGCATCGTCGATACCTTTCTAATGATATATACATAAGTATATATATATATATATATACATATATATATATATATATGTGTGTGTGTGTGTGTGTGTGTACGTGTATATGATTTGTACTTTATTTTAATACGTAAATATGCTATTATAATTTGTAACTCGTTCATACGAACTCCATTTTTGATATTATTTATATCCACGCGTAGGTGGATACGTACTCTACAACTTTCGTTTAGACTCCGTCGGCTAATTTTGATTTTATTTTTAAAGTTATATTTTTAATAGGTCGGGACAGGATTGGTCCGTTAAAATCTCATAACTTCTTTATCCGATGTCCATTTTCGTCTGTCTTTTTATCGTTACACTACTAATAACGAGATCTTCAATTCTTGTTTGGGTTGTTTCAGCTAAAAACCGCTCGATCTAATACTCGAACTTCGGGCTATACACCGCTAAGCCGAAACTTCGAAAAATCATAACTTCCTCATAAGAAGTCAGATTTGGGCGTTCTTTTTATGGACGCTCTCAGGTTAACATATTCTACGACTTTCATTTAGATTACTAAGGCTAAAAGAAGCTCTATCATAAATTCACTATTTACGTCTTTGGAGTGCCGTGCCGGTTCCATCGCTAAACTTCGACGGGTCATAACTTCTTCGTTATAACTCGGATTTCAGCGCTCTTTATATGTACGGAACCCTTGAGACATATTTTAAAGCTTGGTTAAGATTATTTATTCTAAATAATATTTTGTTGGAAAGTCGTTTTCGACCCCTATTATCTATAAATTGACTAGCCCGGATCTACGGACGTTACAGGTGAGGGAGGCCAGATTAGGTGCATAAGGGGGATTATATAGGGTGCGAAACCTGTGGATCTAGGGTTTCTTCCAGATTGGCGGACTTGCCGAGTCTAGGATATGGACTCGTCGAGTCGCCCACTTTCACGTGCTGGAAATCCCGTCTCTACTCGACGAGTCGGGCAACAGACTCGTCGAGTCCCTCTTGAATACTTAGAAAAATAAACATTAAATAACATACCAGAAATGGGGTCGTTACACTCTGCCTCAGACCCCAATGATCCTTAACCTAAAACAGAGAAATACTCCTCGACAATCCTAACGGGCATGCCCAAAGCACGCACTGATTCCCCCTTTACGTTCATGACCACCTCTAATGATAGCCTACCTCGAACTGGTGAACACTACGATCCCATTGGAGTCTTATAACACCTCTAACTAGCCATGGTTGCCACCCATGGCCTAATCTATAATGACCGTCATTTGAGGTATTAATTATTAAATATTTCTTAATTTATTTGTTGGGCTAAATGTAGATAGAAGGACTAATGAAGTGGACTTTAGCAAGTGGGCCAAGGACTTGGGCCACCCATAAGTCGTATGTTGGGCATAGCCTTGGTGTACGCGGGAAGTAGAGACACATTAGATGTGGGGGATGCATGCATGTACGCGCAGCGTACCAAGGAGTACGCGTAGCGTACGTGAGCAGATTCTAAAACCCTAAGAGCTTGGAAGAAGAGAATAGAGGTTGGAGAAGAAGAACATGAGGATCTTAAGCTCAAGGATCTGGGATTACCTCATCTTTTGGCACTCAAAGGAGGTATAAAGCTTCCAACTTTCCTCATAAAAGCTTAGATCTAGGTTTATGGAGCTTTGGATATTTTTTAGGTCCAAAGAATGGATTTTTATGATGCAACTTCGTTTTTAAGCTTAGGGTTGCCACCCTCAGAGCTAAAAGTGTCCCTTAAGTAGTAAAGTTTCAATCTTTAAGGCCCATTTGTAACTGTGCATGAGATCTAGCGATTTCCATGAAGTTAGATGCTATTTTTCCAAGTTTGATCTCACTTGGTGGATTGCAAGCCACCAACTGATCGACTTTATCGGTAAGATGGATTATTGGACTCTGATCTGTAGTTTAGATGTAGTATCTTAAGGGGTTAAGAGGTTTTGAAGAAAATGGCTTAACAGAGTAGTACGTTGGGCGTACACACCAATACGCGCAGCGTACAAGCCATGCAAGCTGTACACGTAGCGTATAGAAGAGTACGCTCAACGTACTCTCAATTTTGGGCTTTAAAACATTCGGCCTAAGTTTAGGCCGATCTTTAGGCTTAGCAGATGTTGGTTCGAAATGGGCCACCATGCATCGGTTAATGGACCAAGGACACGTTTGGGCTTGGGAGGAAAGCCCATTTGAGGAGTTAAGCCCAATTTAGAAAGTTGGGCCATTAGAGGGCTTTAATGGACCATTAGTGAGTTTGTAAAGACTATAAGGGATTAGGCCTGGGTCATGGTCCAATTTAGATCAAGGGGTAAAATAGTTATTTTACCCTTAGAAGGATTCTTAGTTGCAAACTCGAATCTAAAAGGACAACCCATAAGCAACCCAACTAATCCATAAACCCAAAAAGGAGACCAAAATCATAATAAATTAGTTATGAAGAGATCTAACCATGCACAAGCCAAGATGCAAACTTAATACCCCAAAAAGCTTCTCCACAAGATGGGGATATCAGATCAAAAGCCTCTCCACCAAGCCAAACAACTTCAAGCTTCTCTTCTTTCCTTCCCAAGGGAAAAATGTGCACCAAAGCCTTCCAATATCTCAAGAACACCTCCAAGAGGCTACAAGGTCGATTTAGGGTTTTTAGGGTATGGAGGTTGGCTTAGAAATGAAGGAAAGGGGATAACATAAAGCTTTTATAGGGTACAACACTAGAAATTAGGGTTTCATACTAACCCTCGTACGCCCAGCGTACGAGGTCTCGCACCTCGCTCCCAGCCTCGTAGTACGCTAAGTGTACTCCTTCGGTACGCACGGTGTAGAGTCATTCGCATCAGTACTCCCCACGTACTCTCTTGTTACGCCCCATGTACTAGGGTCTTCCCTCACACCCTAATTTATTTTGAAAGCCATAACTTCATCGATACAACTTCGATTCCGACCATCCTTATATCCATGAAAAGGTAACAAGAAGCTTTATGCTTTAAAAACAACTCATACCTGCCTTACAATATCCCGAACAAACATCCAATTTCCATAAAAACAACTCATACCTGCCTTACAATATCCCGAACAAACATCCAATTTCCATAAAAACCTGAGCTGAAAAAGTACCAAAATACCCTTGACTCCAAAATGAACTTTGAATGCCCGAATCATCCACATACAATCACCAACACTCAAATGGATAGCGATTCGAAACAGGACGTTACAAATATTAACTATTATAATTAGGTATTGTTTAAAAAAAACTATAATGTAATTGCTTTATTCTTTTTTAAATACAATGTGCTAACAAAAAACAGATAATTATACAACGATGTAAATAGACAAAACATTAAAATAAGATGTTGTAATCAGGATCGGTTCAGACGGTGAGCAACTCGGGCGACCGCCCAGGGCCCACGACTCCTGGAGGCCCAAAATTTATGGGCTATATAGTGTATATATATATAAAAAAAATTATTACCAAAATGATTTTTAAGACCTAAAGTTTGTTCAAACTTAAACTAGCTTAAAAGATAAACAATTTGACTTGCTTCTTATTGTTAATTGAATGTGTTTATAATCAATAATAAATTATATTTTTTTAAATCTTTATTATATTTATGTTTAAGGGCTTTTTTTTTTTTTTTTTCTTTTCGTTCCGGGCTTATTTGGACCGGCCCGTAATATATTTTTTATCAACCATTTTATAACAATAAATAGAACAAAGAAACAAAACGGACGGAAGTGTATCTATTCAAATGTTGGGTCCCATATTTTTAGGCCGTTGCCTTCAAAATCGAGAAAGTCATAGTCCGGAAACCGAAGTATCAGCAATTATTAGAATAGAACACCTCAAACAATCCACCAACATTTTCTTCTTCAGGTGAGAACATATTGAAGATGAAGGCGAAGTGATTCGCTCAATCAAATCTATCAAAAATCAGACGGAAATTTCTACAGATTTTGCAAGGTATGTGATGCAGAGAAGAAATTGATAGCTAGCCGTGGTCCAAGGAAGAAGATATTCAGTTCCAATGTCGTCGTGCTCTGTGGAGAATCAAAACCCTAACAAGTCTTCACCCTTAAATTTCTCAAATCTCTGGTTGAAGAACGAAAAAGTGCTCGATCATGTCGTTTACGCTGCCTTACGTCGATTTTCCTTATCCAACAAACACCCTCCCTCTCTGCCACCACACCTAGACGATGTCACCGTTGCTTCTTCTCCTCCACAACCTCCCACGAACAGCAACAAAATCCTGGCTTTTGATTTCCCCCAAATTGTTGTATCTGATGATTTTACTCCTCTCCTTTCTGACGAAATCCTCCTCCACATCCTCTCGAAACATCCGGAAATATCACAAAGGAACTCAAATTGTTTAGTTTCAAAACGGTGGTTGAATCTCCAAGGTCGATTGGTAAGATCACTCAGGGTTTTGGATTGGGATTTCCTTATATCTGGTCGTATGTTCTTTAGATTCCCTAACCTTACACATATTGATTTACTTCATGGAACTGTGGTTTCCAATAGTAGTACCCCAAATTTGATTGGCCATGAATTGGGGTCTTTTCACATATCTCCTGACGATTTTTTATGCGATGACCATTGTTTATTACCAGTTGATGAAGTTGATTTTGGTTTGAAAGTTTTGGCTAGTATGTACCCCAATCTGCGTAGGCTTGTTGTTGTGAATTGTAGTGAAATTGGATTACTGAGTGTTGCAGAGGATTGTCCCACAATGCAAGAATTAGTCTTACATAGATGTAATGATCATCTATTGTGTGGAATAGCAGCATTTACAAATCTGCAAATACTGAAGCTGATTGGAGTCATTGATGGTTTCTATAAGTCTCTGGTTTCTGACCGAGGTTTGACCATTTTGGCACAAGGGTGTAAGAGATTAGTGAAGCTTGAGCTACGTGGATGTGAAGGGGGTTATGAGGGGATCAAAGCAATTGGTGAATGCTGTCAAATGCTTGAGGAGTTAACAATTTGTGATCATAGAATGGAAGAAGGATGGTTGTCAGCTCTTTCTTATTATGAAAATTTGAAATCTTTGAAGCTTGTTTCATGTAAAGGCATTGATCAAAATCCTGAACTTTATGAGCAATTAGGGTTTTGCCAGATGCTTGAAAGATTGCATTTGGAGAAGTGTCAGTTAAGAGATAAGCAAAGTGTTAGGGCTTTGTTTCTTTTATGTCAAGCTGTGGTGGAAGTTGTTTTCAAGAATTGTTGGGGATTGAATAATGCCATGTTTCTCAATGCAAATTTATGCAGGTATAATAATTTCTGTAAAAAAAATATATATTGTTTCCTTCCAACTCCATCTAATTTTTTATGATTTGATTTCAGGAGGGTGAAGTCTACGTCTATAGAAGGATGTTCAAGGCTAACAACACAAGGTCTTGAGAATGTGATTCTTTCATGGAAGGAGCTTGAAAGCCTTGAAGTGATATCATGTAAAAACATAAAAGATGATGAAGTGACTCCTAAGTTATCTGCTTTGTTTTCTGATCTTAAAGACTTCAAATGGTGCCCAGGTAACAACACGTCTTTTCTTCTGTCAACAAGACTCTCTCTTTCTGATATGGGAAAACGAGGGGGTAAGTTCTTCAAGAAGTTTCAAATTTAAGCGTTTGAACTTATTCTATAAATTCTTTAAAAGTTTCAAACTTGAACATTTGAGACTGTAGATTTGGAGTTCTTTAACATGAAGCAATATAAGCTTCTGATTTGGATGAACTCTCTAAAGAGTTACTTGGACAATATTATGTATCGATATTTATTTTGATAATCAATCATCATCTTCATTGATTTTTGTTATTGTTCCCGGTATGTTATTGGTGTATATTGATACATGTCTAGGCCTCTATGGCATACAAAAATGATATTATATTCAAAAGTTATAACAAATAGTATGATTAGTATTTCAAACACTACAATATTAGTCATACAATTAGTATTTCAAAAGCTTTAGTATGATGTTGTAAATAAGAAGAGACACCAACGAATCAAGTTTTGTAAATGGATATAAAAACAAGAGCAGTTTTTTGTCACCATAAGAAATAAGATGATTCTCGGTGCATATGCAATATGAAATATTTAAGAAACATAAAGAGACTACCGATGTTGACACGATTGAGATGCCATATCTCAAAAGCAGCACCTCATGGCAAATTTATAGCACATGAGCGTGAAGAGCAAAGGGAAGGGACCTTTAAATAACTGAGAAATCAAATATCCTCCTGACTATTGTTTCTATTTATCTTCTTATCATTAGATCAACACAAATGTCAAACTCAAAACGGCAGATTAAGAGAGAATTAGTGGAGTCAATATGTCAATATTTTATGACTAGAAAAATAAATAGAAATAAATGATAGGAGGATATTAATTTTTTTTAACTAAAGATCACAAAAAAGGATTATAACCCAACGCTATTAGGATTTGAAAAATATATCCACCTCCCAAGTAGGTGTTAATGTGTATATATATATATATATATATATATATATATATATATATATATATATATATATATATATATATATATATATATATATATATATATGAGACTCATGTATTATATGGGTTTATTAAAAAAAAAAAAAAAACTAAAATATAAAATTCTAAACATTTAAGAAGTTTGAATTTATAAGGAAAATGAGAAAAATATTGAATTATAAAAATTAAAGTGTTTTTTTCTTTAAATTTAAACAAATAATTTAGATAAATAAATAAAGAAAATTATTGAAGCTTTAATTTAGTGATTTGAAATTAAAAAGGAAAGTTCATTAAAGAAACTAATATGCATTTATTATTGCATTTAAATACTATATGAAGTTAATAAAATAGAAAAGTCATAAAATGATATGAGGAATAAAAATTAATTCAAAATAACCATAAATAACATTTGACAAATTGAATAAGAGTGTCAAAAGTAGCAAAAAAAATCATTTATTAGAGTGTATATATATATATATATATATATATATATATATATATATATATATATATATATATATATATATATATATATATATATATATATATATATATATATATATGGTTAGGTTATTTTGTTTCTGGTAACTATTGTGTGTCAGAATGCATAAATCTGGACCATTAGATGGAATAGAATCAAAGGTCATGATCTGAAGGTCTATGATAGTAGAATAGGATAACATCTACCATATAATCACACAAATTTCAGCATAAGAACATTTTAGTCAATTAACCTATATTAAAAAAGGAAATTTTCGGATTTTTAGGGATAATTAATTCCTTTATTTTTAAAATTTTGAATATTTTACATTAATTCAAATTTAAAAATCCGAATTTATTCTGTCAGAAATGCCAACCATAAACTAATAAATATATTTTTCGATTTTATTCTGTCAGAATGACAGAATGCCAACCATAAACTAGTAAATATATTTTCGATTTTATTCTGTCAGAATGACATAATGTCAACCATAAACTAGTAAATACATTCTGAAAAGAATACACAAAATCAATTCTAGAACTAATAATATACCAAATAATTACATTGTATGATTGTGATTCATTAAATAATAACAACATTCTGAAAGAATAACAAGTGTAATTATTAAAAAATAACAATATTCTTAAACAGTGAGTGTGATCATTCTTTGATTCATTCTTCAAACATTTCCCATCAGGTCTTCAAGCATTTTTTATCACAAATTCATTGCCAAATATTTTGTAGTGATACATTGTAACAACTGCATATTAAACATATAAATAATTAACTACAATTCTATCAGAATACAACAATAATATTCTTATGGAATATACTATTCTTGCAGAATGGTTTGGAATATTTAGTTTCTCTTTATGTATAAAAAAATCATGTTACAAGAACAAAATGAAACCTGATAAGCATCAAAGTTTAACTTTTTCAATACCAAATACAAACAAAGAAGACGAACCTGATAGTTTTTCATCAAAATCTCATCAACAACCTCATAAGCATCTTGACGTGCTGCTTTATAAACTGGTCTTGCATAATATCGAGGATCATGAGGTTTACCAAGGATCTTTAAATTATCGATTCATTACATACAAATTTGAAAACTTGTTTTGCTTCTTCGGGTTCCCTATGTTTCTTCTCAATATCCTCGATGTATTTATTTGCAAATTCTGACAGAATAATGAACTAGCATCAACCTATTTGTTACGAAAAGGGCATCCAACCCGATCTAAATTAAGGTATATAGTTCTGAAAAGAATAAGGAACAAAGTGAAGTAAAAACATTAAAGATTATTAACTATTTTTTCATTGAAGCATTTTATCGAACACATAAAGGCCATGACAGAATGTTATTCTCTGTAAATTCATGAGTACGAATTTATTCTCAAAAGATTGAGTAAATTAGAAAAATAGAAACAAAGTTCAAGAAGATACATGTCTAGAATTTTGCAACATATCAACTTATTTGTTGTCCGAAGGTTGTGGTGTAGGTGGTGTACGGCGGCAAGTGCGGTTGTATTTTGGCGATAAAAGCATGAGCACCGGCTGTGACTAAGGAAGACGAAGAAGTTGTAGATGCCGATGATGCTGAACAATTGTGATGTCGGTCGATGATTTTGTAGGGTTTCAAAATTGATTTTCCTAATTTAAAGGGATGTTAAATATTTTGAATATTTTCTATAATTAAATATGGCATAGATTACTATTATACCCTCAAACAATTTAATAATTATTTATTTTTTTGCTAATTTGTGATTGGTGCATTTATGCACACAATAGTTATCAAAAACATTTGAACATAACACACACTCTCTCTCTCTCTCTCTCTCTCTCTCTCTCTCTCTCTATATATATATATATATATAAGGAAAAGTGAATATGTGGCTGTTATGTATATATCATTAGATATAGAACTTCCAATACTACGTCGTTTTAAGATTTAAATACAAATATTTAATTTTAAATGTAATATATTTCTCCTTCTATCGGTTATCTCCAATTCTATCGATTTTCCTCAATAATTTATTTTAAATGATTACTCTTACATTGACGGCTTTATCATAATCTTTTTTTTTTCAATTCCATCTTAAAGTGACATGAGCAATTTTGTGTTCATATATGTAATCTTACATAAAACACAGTCACATATTCACTAACCCCTAATTATATGTCGTTTTAAAATGTTTCAATTTTTGTAAACCGAATTATATAAACCGATCCAACCGAATTGTAATTGGTTCGGATCGGATTGAATTTGAATTTAGTTTGAATTATTCGGATCTATATTTTAAAAACCGAAATCAATTTGGATTCATTTGTTTGGATCGGATCTAACCGATGCATCCAAATGAACACCCCTAGATATAAATATTGTAGATTGGTTACAGGTTTGCATTTCGAACAACATTCATTGAGATTTTAACTAACTTGGTTCACCCAAATTTTTTCCAAATACAAATCCTAACTTACTTTCGTCAAAATTGTTGAAAAAAAAAATTATCTTTAAAAATAGACCACATAAACCGGTAGAATCCAAAATATAAGTATATGTAATTCTATAAAATTGTGATTATTTTTGTAACTACCCTAATAATTTATAATTCTATATATACAAACATATGTTGGCCTTACCCAAGGGGGCATTTTTAGGGACGTCGAGACTTGAGAGACAAGCCTCGTAGCTATGACAGTATCGAATGGAAATAAATTTGATTACAAAATTATATAAAACTGATTTTGACTTTTGAAATAATAGAGTTTAAGAAAAAAATATTGATAATTCATTACCATAACAAATGTCCATAAGGTACAAAATCCAACTTGTTGAATAATCTCTCCCTTTTCTACCCTACAAAAACATGGACTCTTGCTCTTACATAAATATCCCAAATACGTTGTGTCACCAACTTTTTCGATCGAACTTTTAATAAATTAAAACCAAAAACTTGTAACAAAATGAGCTCCTCATCTAGATCACCTCCTCTTGTACCTATACCACAACATTTTTATAACATTACTAATAAATAAATAAATAAACAAAAAAAACAAAAACATATGGAATATACTTGATAGTTTTTTTGAATCTTATGGAATAAACTACATTTTTTTTATATTTACAACTTTGGTCCTTGTTCCAAGTAAAATGACAATTTCTGGTCCCTGAGTAAAAGCTATTTTACTTGGAACAAGGACTAAAAAATGTTACAAAAACTTTGAATATTGACTCAAAGTGCAAGAGAACCTTTTTGGAACCAAAATTGAAAATTCAGCTATACTCAGGGACCAAAAATATAATTTACTCTAGATTCATATTACATTAACACTTTAGTAATATAATTCTTGACATATTAATATTAGTCTTACAGTAATATAAAATAATTTTGTTGCGTGAACTACAATACTATAAGCCTACGAGAACCTTAAACGACTTACTAATAGTTCTTTTGGAGCTTAAATTCATAGTAGAATTTGTCCTTGCATTTTTTATAATAGAGTAAATTACCTTTTTAGTCCCTGAGTTTAGCTTACTAAAGTTGTCTTATAATTTTGGTCCTTTTTGGGTTCTTGTAACATTTTTGGTCCATATTCCAAGTAAAATGAGTATTTTTGGCCCCTGAGTAGAGCAAATATTTGCAACTGAAAATTCAGCTATACTCTGGGGACCAAAAAGTAAATTACTCTTAAATTAATGATATTAAAGTTAGCGTAGCTCTTTTGAAAATCTTTATTTTGTGAACTACTACTACAAACACAGTAAAAGAGTGGCAACCAATATCTCAATAATGAAAAGACGAAAATGCCCTTGTTATGAAAAAATAGAAAGTGGGAAGTACCTTGACTTGCTCTTAAATGATGATGACTTTTTCCCACCTCCATGAGCGCTTCTTTTTTGCTTCTTTTCACTCATTTCACTTTGGAAAAGTTCCTTCATTTCTTCAGGTCTTGATTTATTTAAATGTGAAGAAGAAGACGACTTGTTGTTATTTGGTTTTTTATTTGTTCTCACAACTTTCCCATTATCTGCTGCCTTTTTAGCACCTTTTGCTGCTTTTGCACGTCTATAAGCCAAATCAACAAGAGAAATTCCAGGTTTCTCCTTGTTGTTTCTAGCATTTCCCTGTAAATTATAAGCTGTTATTAGTAAATTCTCACAAGAGGGTCTTTTGGTCTTTTAATAAATTAAAAAAAAAAAAAGAATGAAAAGAATTGTAGTTTGTCCGTTTGGCAACCAAACACCCCCATGGAATGGAATCAAGAATTCCAACTCCACCAATTCCATGGAATTTATTATTTACAAAAATAAAATATCGAACATAGCAAATGCTAGTTAGAATCTAATTAAAAATATAGGGTTAATCTCAAAGACCTTGTATTTTTTTATTTTTTCCGAAAAAGCCCTCAACTTTGTATTTTTTTTCCAAAAAAAAGAACCCTTCAAACTTCTAAATTCTTCCAAATAAACCCACAACTTTTTTAGTTTTTCTCGAAAAACCCTCACATTTTACAATTTTTTTTGGCAAAAACAGCCAAGTCGGGAAGTATGAAAAATACAAGGTTTTTTTCAGGCAAAAAATAAATTTGAGGTTTAATCCGGAAAAAACACAAAATATAAGGTTTTTTGTGAGATTAACCCAAAAATATAAATTACTTATTTTTCTTTAGAGAAGAAAATAATAACTTAATTAAAATTATGAAAGTACTAAAGGGACATGTTTCATTGAAAATTAGTGGAATGGAATTATAGATTCCATTCTTTCTCCAATTCCATCAATCACATACCCCATTTTCAGCTTCATCCTCCAGCATTTCTCTAGATGCTTCAAGCTTCCTTCTTTTCTTTCTAGGAAGATTTTTCTGCCAACAAAAGTGGTTAAAAATTCAGTATAATAATTCAATTTCTCCAGCTATATACATTTTTTTTCATATTAAAAAAATCAAAAGGAGAACAATAATTAAATAAGAACCTCATATTCACGCTTTTTCTTTGCTTTCTGCTTACGCTCTTCGGCTTCTTCAGCACTCATGACCTTCTTTTTAGAACCTTTTTCTTTTTCCTGAAGTCCAAAATACAAGATTAAATTTGACTATTATTTTATGAAAAAATTAAATATAAATGGAAATATTAAATATTACCTTTCCAGCATTAGCAACAAGTTTTTTCTCTTTTTCTGTAACAAACCAAGTCCTCTTTGGCCTAGAAAATATTTCATCCCTGTGTGTAATCAAATTCTCTGCCTGCAAATCACAAATAAAAAAATTACAAAAAAAAAAAAAAAAAAAATCTTTGGTCCGGAATCGGAATCCAATTCCATTCCGGTTCATTTTATTTATTAAGGCATTGTATTTTAAAAATCTACTCTAATGTAGCAATTGTATGTCTATTTTTTCTTGATATGACATTTTACTTTTACAAAAATACTCAATTGTAGCACAACTATTTTCAACTTTTTTATTATAAAAAATTCTACTTTATTATTTTAGTACTTGTATCAAAATCTTCTGTTCAAAATTTTTTTACCTAAAAACAGTGTTAAAATAGTTCTGTGAATGAAAATTTTAAATGATTAAATTAATAGAACTAAAAAATTAATGAAATTGAATTCATGTCAATACCTTGTCTGCTTCCATTTCAGCCTTTCTTAGTGCCATTTCTTCCCTGGACAATAACACATTAATAATTAATTATATTAATAAAATAGAAATAATAAAAATAAATAAATAAAATTGAAAGATGATATAAACCTCTCCTCTCTAAGAATTGAAGCCACTTGATCCTCCATTTTCTCAATCATTTCACACCATTTATTTATCGATTGCTCTGCAACAATACGACTCTTCAGCTTTGATCCAGCTCTTTTCACCTGTGTCATAGAACACGTAAAGTCACATTTACATTTGTTGAGGGTAATTTGGTCTTTTTTATGTTACAAGTACAAGTGTACTCACAATGGCTTTGAGGAGAGATCGGTCATTATCCGTGACAAAAGTAACCGCATACCCTTCTCTCCCAGCTCTAGCTGTTCTACCCACTCGATGAACATAGCTATATATATACAACCATAAACATAAATAATTGAATAAACTTTTTAAATTTCTATTTGTATTTAGTAGTTTTTTGTTTATTGTGTGTGTGTGTGTGTGTGTGTATATATATATAATATCAAATTTGTTGAGTTTATTTACTGTAAATTACATTTTTACCCCTGGGGTTCGTTTGTTTTTACAGATATGGTCTGGTTTTTAACCTTTTTAACTTTTTTCATAAATGAAAAGTATTTTTGCTGTGCTTTTAGTCCTTCAAATGTATGTCATTAAGCCAATAATAAAAGACATCAACTGCAGAGACTGAAAGCATGACAAAGGTACTTTTCATGAAACATGAAGTTTAAAATATATATATATATATATATATATATATATATATATATAGAGAGAGAGAGAGAGAGAGAGAAGGAAAAAAAAGCTTGCCTAGTAAGATCACGTGGGCACTCATAGTTAATAACTGTTTTGACTCCGATAATATCAAGCCCCTATAAAATCATTAAAAAGATTTACAAATTTAACTCCTTTATGTCACACATATATAACTCAACAAATTCAAACTAAACTTTTAAAATAAATAAATAAATAAATAAATAAAGTGGAAACTTACACGAGCAGCAACGTTAGTTGCTATCAAGAAATCCACTTCCTGCCTTCTAAAAAGTTCCAAAGCCTGTAGGGGCAACAAGGTAATTTACACCAAATACAAGCTGCATGAATTATTTTTCATTTTTTATTTATTTAAAAGGGTGTGGTATGAAATTCAATACTTACATCTAGACGTTGTGCCTGAGTGAGATTTCCATGAAGCTCAGCAGCTTTAAAGCCAGCTAAACCAAATAAAATCTTCAACCTATGTGCAGCTTGTTTTGTTCCACTATCATTGAGAAAACTAAATATTAGTATAAAGAATCATGCCCAAGAAAAAATACAAGGTCTTTTTTTTACGAAAAAATAAAGTTGAGGTTCAATCAGGAAAAAACATAAACATAAAATATAAGGTGTTTCCATTTTTCAAACTAGAAAGTTGTAAAACATAGAATCGAAAGTATGATGCTATAGAAAGCAAACCAATAAAAATATAATACTACGTATATATCTTTAATTTAACCCATTGTCACCTGAATATGATGACTTTGGATGTAAACGTCTTGGAACACAATGCAAGAAGAACAGCTTCTTGATTTCCTTCCCTCATCCTCCTTATCCTTACAACCCTGTAAATAACAAACTCAAAAAATAAGCAAAAATCTTTGTTATCTTTTTGGCATTAGGGGTAGAATGGTGTTTTTTTGGTATTATGGTTGTTAAGAATTATTAAGGAAGTGAAGATTGTTGCACTTACTCTTCAGTCAAAGTAGCTGGACGTTTTGTAGTGGGGTCAGCTGAGAGTCTCAAGGGTTTGTTCAACAACAGTTTGATAAGCTCATCAACTTGCTCAGTCATAGTAGCTGAAAACAGCATTGTTTGTCTACGTTTAGGACAAACTCTCACCTGAAGAAAAAAAAACAAAAACAAAAAGAATGAGAAAAAATCTTAACTTTATAACACAAGAAATAGGATGCTATAACAAATTCAAGAATTTAAGATTACCAGTTCACGAATCTCAGCATCAAATCCAAGCTCAAGAAGACGATCTGCTTCATCAAGAATTAGAACTGCAAGATCATCCAAATCTACAGACATTGAATTGCGTAAATGATCTATCATTCGTCCAGGGGTAGCCACCACTATATCTGGTAGGGATCTCAATGCTGCTTCTTGAGCCTGACATATGTATATTTAAAATCATTTTAACAAAAAAAAAATCATTTAAAAAAAAAGAAATGTATCGAAATTGCACACCTTTGTTGAAAGCCCACCAAGAACAAGGCAACATCTGATATCTGGAATAAACTGTGCAAGTTTTCCAATCATGCTATGAATCCTGTATAATCAAAATACATTTTTTATAAAAATCAAAAAGGAAAGGTTACATCACTTTAGTCAAAAACTATGTTACACACTAGTTACATTAGATATAAAGGTTTATGATATTAACCTAGATATTGCAATTGCAAACAATAAATTAACATAGAAAAAAAAAAAGATTTTAGATTTAAGACTTACTGAACTGCTAACTCTCTTGTAGGAGTAAGAATGAGAACTCTTATTGCAGGCCTATGTTTTGGACGAAACAACAATCTCTCTAATGTTGGCAATGCAAAAGCAGCTGTCTGTAAAAATTTAAGCCAAAAATCTTTAACAATATTATAAAATATTCTAAACTCTAAAGTTTTAGAAATGATGAAAACATACCTTCCCAGATCCAGTAATTGCACTACCACATATGTCACGTCCAGTTAATGCCAATGGTATACAAGCTGCCTATAAATATAATTCAAACCTCAAAAACATTTAGACAATATGAAAGAAGAAAAATGAAAAGGTTAAAGTAAAATGATTATAACCTGAATAGGTGTTGGCTTGTTGTACCCCAAAGCTTCACAAGCTCTGAGCAATGGCCTTGAAAGATGAAGATCCATGAATGAATTCGCATGAAAAGAAACACCATCTGCTTTTGCAAAGAACTGTTTGTTATCTCCACCACCACTTGCTGTGGTGGGAATCTCATCTTCTTCTTCAGGTTTAAAATCTTCCTAAAAAGTGTAGTGTAGTGTAGTGAGTTGGTTAAAAATTGGCTCTTTCAATTCAACACTCTAAATAGAAAAAATCAGACAACTTACCTGACGATCTGGTTCAGAATCAGTAGGGTCATCTTCATCCATCTCTTCTTCTTCTTCTTCTGGTATTGAATCTGAAGGATTACGTTGCTGGATGAACTTTGAGATTTTATCATCAATGGAGGTTGTGCTTCTTCGGGCATGTTCTTCTGCAACTGATTCAGTGTATGAAGAAAAGTCCCATGGAGATTGTGTTTTTTTGGTATGATTTTTTCCTTTTTCTTCTACATCACTGTTTTCATCATCCTTTTCTTCATCACTGTTGAGATCTTCATAGTCATATTCCTCATCGCTTGGAGGTTCAAATGCAAACTCTGAATCCACCATTGTTAGCTTGTATTGAGAGCCAAAACCTGGGAATTTGAATTCTGATTGATGTCAATATAGTATTAGCATAATCCCAAATTACATTACAACTATGTACAATGAGTGAAACTAACACAAATTCTGTTTTATTCAGATAGCAGGAAGATTAAACACCATAATTTCATTCCAACCAATTATAAACATATGATTTTCAAGGAAACAAGGGAAATTTACTTTCAAGAAGCTATAAGCTGATAAGTCATTTTAGTGTTTGGCAAAAAAAAAAAAAAAAAAAAAAACTGCTTATATGTGTAAAATTACCAAAAAGGGCTTCCTTCTATATTATGACTTATTTTTCTTATTATCCCTAATTTAATTCTAATAACCATTAGTAGCACAAATCATGAACACACGGCACAAAAAACTCAACAGCAACACAGTAAAGTCGATGGCAGCACAAAAAAACTCAGACAGCAGCACAATGAAATCGACATCAGCACAAAAAGCATAATATTCCATGAACACACAAATCAATCGTTCCCATTCTTTATCCACCATCACAATTCAAATTAAGGAAACTATTTCAACTGGGGAAGAAGTAATGAAATCTGGAAAGCTACAATGGAAAGCGAAGGACGAAAATCCAATGAAATCGACATCAGCCCCAAAAAAATCCACAGTTTTTTGAGTTCCAATAAAACTGACAGCCACACAATTTGCACAAATAAAATCGAACCAGAAAACGAAGGAAGAAAGAACGCAGAAGCAAGAACAAACCTGTGGGGTCGAAAACCGGGGTTGCTGTGGGCTGTGACGATCTCCGACCGGTGGGGAGGAGCTGGCTAACGGCGGTACCTTCAAAGGGGACGGCTTGAGGAGGCACCTCGACTGAACAGCAATATGGAGGCGTATGTTTTGTGCGTCGATGTATAGTTTAGGTTAAGGATATATCTGTCAATTTCTTTCAATGCAGCAATAAGCAAGCAAAAGCAATAAGGACTTCTTGTTTATAACCTGTTTATAAAAAACATTTTATTCAAACACTTTTTTTCCTTTTTTTATATCAGAGTTAAACCGATAATAAATCATATTAAAAATTGTTATGAATTATTATTTAATGAATGACTATTGGATTCTCCATCTCCTCCATTACTCTCCATAATTAGTGAGCATTATAACAAACATTATTATGAGTTTTATGAGTGTAGTTATGCACCACTATAATGTGTATTCATATCATACATGACCTTTCATCTTCTTTATTTAGTATAAATAGTGAATATTATGTATTATAAAGTTTGATGATTTGATCACAAATATTGGAATACAAGTTCTCTTTATTCTCATGTCTTTCTATACTCTATAATTTATCTTTTTATTTGATCATATTTTATAACACGTTATCAGCACGACTCTACCATATAACTCTAACTCCTTATTGGTCTTGTCATTTTCAGGTATGTATTTTTTATAATTTTACATGTACAATGCTTACAACTTATTTTATGGAATTTCTTAACTAACAATTCCTTACATTACAAGTCTTTATTTTGATTTCTATTTTCATTATGGAAAACAATGCTAGAGAAAACTTTCTCTAGTTTTAATACTACTAATATGCTCCTGCAGTAGCAATATCGTGAGAAATGTTTAAAATAAATATGAATTAATCTCATTTCTTCTTGTGGCTAAACAAAATAATGAGTTATTGATGAAAAATTATCAATCAATCTCGACCGGTTCTAGTACATTCCCTGAAGTGAATGCAACTCATATAAGCATAATAGTCATGAGTCTAACCGAGGTCGTGGAGGTTATCATAATTATCATAAAAATAACAAGATTACAATTAACCACCAAAAGTTGGAAAACAACAAAAATCGACATCCTAATGATAAAAGTGGTCAAGGCAAAAAAAAAATTGAAAATGTTTATCACTAATGTGGAATGACCAATCATTAGTCTTGTACATGCTGCTTACCAAAGCATTTTGTTGATCTTTATCAAGATTCTCTAAAATATAAAGAAAAATATCGAAACAAATTTTATTCGAAGTGATATTCATAAAGATCAACCAGAAATGACACATTTGGATGTTGCCGATTTTCTTGTCTACCCAGAAGGGACAAGTGGTGATATGGATGGTGATTGAAGAATAATGTGTAGTTTTGTTTCATGTCATTTACTATGTTTTTATGGCATATTCATATTATGAGAAATGATGTCATCACAATCTTATCAATGAAATAAAATATGAATTTATTTCTCCAAGACGAATGTTTCTTATGTTTTATTTATATATTGAAAAGAAATATTGATATTCGCAAAAGAAATAATGAAGATATATTTCTTGCAGACAATGCAATAACACATAACATTTTTAATAATGAAAAGTATTATGCTTACTTAGCAATTAGAGAAGCAAATGTTAATATAATAACAAGTAATGCAAAAATGATTGAAGGCTCCAGAAGAGAGAATATAATATTACAACAAGGGACACTAATTACGAATTAGTGATGCATTATTTCGTCTAAATCACCAAGATTGAAGTCTCCGGAAGAGCGAATATCATATTACCACAAGGGACAATAATTACAATTGGAGATGCATTATTTTCATCAAAATCACCAAGAAATTTATTAAGTTTTAAGGATATTCGGTCCAACGGATATCATGTTGAAACAACCAATGATGGTGATAAAGAGTATCTCAATATTACAAAAATGATATCGGGTAAGAAAAGTCTTTTGGAAAAATTACCCGTATTGTCCTCCGGATTGTATTATACAAATATTAGAATGATTGAATCTCATGCTATTGAAAATAAAAGGTATGATAACATCTACAAACTTTGGCATGACCGGTTGGGCCATCCCGGATCAGTTATGATGCGCAAAATAATTGAAAGTTCAAGTGGACATTCCTTGAAAAACCAGAAGATCTTTCAAGCTAGTGAATTGTCTTGTGTTGCATGTTCTCAAGGAAAATTAATTTCCCATCCATCATTGAATAAAGTTGGGTATGAAAGTCCTAGTTTTTTATAAAGAATTCAAGGGGATATATGTGGACCAATTCATCCACCATGTGGACCATTTAGATATTTTATGGTTTTAATTGACGCGTCAACTAGATGGTCACATGTCTGCTTGTTGTCTAGTCATAATTTGGTTTTGCAAGATTACTTGCATAAATAATTTGCCTAAGGGCACATTTTCCCTATTACCCAATTATGAAAATTTGACTTGACAATGTTGGAGAATTTACATCATAAGCTTTTAATGATTATTCCATGTTGATTAGGACAACTATTGAACATCATGCTGCATATGTTCATACACAAAAATGGTTTAGCTGAGTCGTTAATCAAACACCTTTAATTAATTGAAAGACCATTTATAATGCATTATAAACTTCCTAATCAACAATGTTGGAGAATTTACATCATAAGCTTTTAATGATTATTCCATGTTGATTAGGACAACTATTGAACATCATGCTGCATATGTTCATACACAAAAATGGTTTAGCTGAGTCGTTAATCAAACACCTTTAATTAATTGCAAGACCATTTCTAATGCATTATAAACTTCCTAATCAACATAAGGGCATGAAATTTTACATGCAACATCACTTATATGCATAATGACAACTAGTTATCATGAGTTCTCCCCTACTCAACTGGTTTTCGGTCAGGAACCAATTATTTACCATCCAAGGATGTTTGGATGTATAATTTATGTACCAATTTCTCCACCTCACTTCACAAAAATGGGTCCTCAAGAAGAATGAGAATTTATGTTGGATATGAATCTCCATTTATAGTAAAATATTTAAAATCATTAATTTGAGATTTATTTACAACTATATTTGATGATTATTATTTTGATGAATCATATTTTCCAACATCAGGGGGAGAAATAAAGAAGCTGGAAAATAAAATCTCTTGAAAGGAATTGTCACTTTCAGTTTTAGGTCCTCGTTCAAGTCAATGTGAACTTGAAATAAAAAATATAATTCTTTTACAAAATGTAGCAAATCAATTGCCAGAAGCATTTACTGACCCTAAGAGAGTAACAAAGTCTCATGTATCAGCTATACTTACTCTAGTTAAAATTGATATCCCAGAAGAAAAAAAAAATACAACTGCAAATGAATCTTAGGCACGCCTGAAGCATGGAAGATCAGCCGGTTCCAAAGATAAAAATCCTCGAAAATGAAATGAAGCAAATACAATTGATGGTCCAAAAGAGAAAGCAGAATCTCTTGAAAAGATTAATGAAGCTCTAGAAGAGCCTAATGACATAACAAAAGAAAATAAGGTACCTGAAAAAAATGAAAATGATGAGATCTCAATAAATTATGTCATAACAAGAATAAGATGGAACCGAAATAAGATAGATATCGATGATAATTTTTCATATCATGTTCCGCGCGCGATTATAATGAAAATGAGGATCTTGTACCAAAATCTATTGAGTAATGTAAGAATAGAAAATATTGGCCAAAATGGAAAGATGAAATAAATAAAGAGCTTGATTATATTACTCAACGAAAAGTTTTGGACCTATAGTCCGTACACCAAACAGAGTAAGAACAATGGGACATGAATGGGTATTTGTGCGCAAAAGAAACGAGAAAAATGAAGTTGTGAGATATAAAGCAATATTTGTTGCACAAGGTTTTACCCAAAGGCCCGAAATTTATTATGAAAAATGTATTCTCCGGTAGTTGATGAAATTACATTCAGTTATTTTATAAGTTTAACAACATATGCAAAACTGGAGATGTGTCTAATGGATGTATCTACCGCTTATTTATATGGTTCACTTGAAAAATGACATTTATATGAAAATCACAGAAGGGTTTAAGGTGCCAGAAGCACAAACTTCTAATTCTCGTAAACTATTTGGTAAAATTAAATAAATCTTTGTATAGTTTGAAACAATTTGGTCGTATGTACTTCAATTGTTTTAGTACATTTCTGTTGAAAGAGTGCTATAAAAATGATCCATTAAGCCCATATGTATTCATAAAAAGATCCAGATAAGAATTTATCATAATTGATGTTATTGTATATGATTTGAACATAATTGGAACTCCTAGAGAATTGGAAAATGTCACTTCTGGTTTGAAAGAAAATTTTGAAATGGATGATTTTGGTAAGATGAAATTCTATTTGAGTCTTCAAATTAAGCACACAAAAATGAAGTTTTTGTACATTAATATCTCGAAAATGTGTTAAAAAGGTTTTATATGAATAACTCACATCCATTAGTAACCCGAAGGTGGTAAGGCAATTAGATGCCAAAAGGACCAACTTCAACATCATAAAAAACATGAAAATCTTCTTGTTCCCGAAGAACTATATCTTAGTGCTATTGGTGCACAAATATATCTTACTATTAATACAAGACCTGATAAATATTTGTCATAAACTTATTAGCAACATATAGTTCTTGTCCAACAAGAAGATACTGGAATAGAGTCAAACACATTCTTTGATATCTTCGAGGTATAATAGATATGAATTTATACTAATCAAATTCATAAAATGCAAAGTTAATTGGTTATGCAGATGTGGGATATTTATCTGATCCATACAAAGTTCGATCCCAAACATGTTATTTATTCACTTGTGGAGGTAACGTAAATTATTGTCATTTTGTTAAACAAACTTTAGTTGCTGCTTATTCTAACCATGCAGAGATTATAACAATTTATAAGACAAGTCATGAATGTATTTGGTTAAAAATTTTAACTCAACATATTTGCAAGAATTGTGGTCTAACTTCTAACAGGGATATTCCAACCATACTATATGAAGATAATACAACTTGTATAGCTCCATTCAAGGAAGGACTTATCAAAGGAGACAGAACCAAACATATATCACCAATGTTTTTTTTTTCACTCATGATCTTCAAAAAGAGTGTGACATCAACATCTAGAAAATTCAATCCAGTAACAACTTTCCTGATTGGTTTACTAAAGCACTTCTTACATCAAAATTTAAAGATGGTACGAAACATTGCTATGCAGTGCTTCAAGAAAATCAAGTGACGTGCTAATCAGGGGGAGTTGGAAACATATTGTACTCTTTTCCTTAGCTATGTTTTTCCCACTGGGTTTTCTTAGCCAGGTTTTTAACGAGGCAATTGTTTCCAATATCTATTATTAATCATGTACTATTTTTCCTTAATAAAGGGTTTTACCGATTAAGGTTTTAATGAGGCATGATACAATCGTCATTC